GCCGCAGCCGCTGCCCGGGGCCGGGCGCCCGCGGCGGCACCATGAGTCCCCGCTCGTGCCTGCGTTCGCTGCGCCTCCTGGTCTTCGCTGTCTTCTCGGCCGCCGCGAGCAACTGGCTGTAAGTCGGGCCGGGACCCGGCGGGGCCGGGCGGGGCGGGGCGGGGCAGGCCCCGGGGGCAGCGGCCGGTGCCAGGCGGCGCGGGGCAGCGGGCGCGGGGGCGCCCGGCAGGTGTCTCGGCCGCGGGGCGCGAGGCTCGCTCGCCCTCTCCGCTGCCGCCGCCACTGCCCGGGCCTCCCTCTGGGCACCCCTCTTGTCCGGGTGCGGCTCCCAGCCCAGAGGCGTCAGGGGTGGCGGCGGCGTCCGCACCCATAGGCGGCCTGGGGCGCCCGAGAGTGCAAGGGGTGCGAGCGCGGGGCGGCGGCCCGGGTGGGGTGCGCGGCTCGCGGCGCAGCCCAGGCTCGGCTGACAGGTCGCGGGGGAAGCCCATTACGGGGAAGGACTCTGGGTCCTAATAGCAGGTTAATCCGGAGAAGTCCAGGAGCGAGCTCCCCGCGCCTCGCTGCGCCTCGCTGCGGGGCTGGGCTGGAGGCGTGCAGGGACCTGTTTCTGCTTGGGGGGCGGGAGCCAGGGATAGAAGGAGGGAAGGGACCAAGGCACCGGGCCTCGGAGAGCCCGCGGCCCGGCACTGGCCGGCCTTCTTCTCCCTGGGGCGGGAAGAAACTCCTTCCAGCCCTTGAAGAGGACAACAGCCCACCACCTCCCTGTGTCTCACCTAAGGAGAGAGGGGTGGTGACCACTGGTGACCTGTCTGCTTCTCCTTTGCAGGGCCTGGCTCAGGGGACTCCCTGGGAAGGGACAGAAGGTTCACTGAGAGGGGGGGAGTCTCAGGTGGAGGGAGGGGGATTCTAAAGGGATGAGCTTTGGTGAGGGGATGAACAGGGGAAACAAGAAGACTCTAGAGTCCTTCTTCATCCCCCCGTCGGGGACGGTTCCCCAGGCCCCAGGCTTAACCCTGGACCCAATCCCTTCTGCCCAGAGCTCTGCCCCAACCACTGTGGGCAGCCAGTGGGGAGCCAAGCTCCAATATTGATCTGAAAAGCACGAGGTGGGAAGGGGGATAGCCAACAGTGTAGCTGGGGTTTCCATGGAGACAGCGGGAGAGGAAAAAATTCTCTCTGCATCAAGACGAAAGAACAAATATCTCCCATGAAATTGCCCCGAGTGTCCAATGGCTGTTGCTATGAGGTCATTGCGGCCACCCAGGGCCCTGCAGGCTGGAAGGAGTGTGTTCGTTGGGGTCAGAGCCACCCAGGGCTTGGGGGACCGAGGTGATGTGGAATTCTCCCAGCTGTTGGGAGAGTGAGCGACTCCAAGGCAGCCCGAAGTGGCTGCAGAGCTTTTGTTTTTCTTGGAGCCTTAATTTGATTAACACTTCAGGGGCAGTGGCAAAGTGTGCAGAAATCAGGGCACCACCACCCCTTCCCACGACCCCCACAAGCCATCCTCCTGAGCGAGGACAAGGTCACCGAGCTGAGGAGGGGAGCTGCTTTGGATCCGGGGGGGCCTGGGGTCCCTGGAGCTGACCCTTGAAAGCAGGAGTTCAGAGCCAGGGTCTCCAAAGTAGGTGTGAGTGTCAGGAAAAACAAGGACGAGGTGTGACCCACCCAGTGCCATGGGCTACGAAAAGGCAGAGAAAGAAGTGGCAGTTCCAGAGTCCGACCCAGGTCTTCAGGGAAGAGAGCGACATCCATAGTGAAACGTCCTTCAAGGGCATCTGGTGTTTGAGCTCCTTTTACAGATGAGGAAACTGAGGCCCCAGGAGGGGAAGCTACTGGCCCAAACTCAGAGCAGAGAACTGAACCCAGGTGCTGATTCCCGGGCAGTGACATACCCCCTTCCCTGAAGCCGTCCCCAAGTTGAGCAGGTGTGGCCCAGGTGGTATCACCACCCACCCTCAGCCACGTCTAAGCCCGAAATCCCAGCCGGGGAGGCAGCCCCAGCTTTGGGTCTGGGTCACGCAAGCCTTGGGGAATTCCAACAGCTCAGTTCTTGTGCTTGCGTCGAGGGGGGCGGGGTGAGGAGGGGTGGCCCAGAGGGAGAAGAGAGGTTGGCAAACCTGTTCTCTGCAGTAGTGATGGTTCAGGTTGCCACGAAGCAGATCTCTGGATGACCCAGCTCACTCCTGCTCCACCCCGGGCTCCGAGCCAAGGGTCTCTGCTCAGCCCAAGATGGGAAGAATAGGGGCTTCCTGGGACCCCTTCCAAACCAGAGAGGCAGTGATGGAGAAGTGATCTCTGGGCACATTCCAAGACCGGATCATTTGCCTTGTTTTTAGCAACCTCCATCCCTGGGACAGGGACTGAGCCAGCCCGGAGGGAACTAAGCATCACAGCCTGGCCACCAAGGACCTTGGGGTCCGGAAAGACAGAATAAAAGCAAAACCACGGATGGGTGGGACGGTGTGCATGCTACTGCCGTCAGAGGAAGGGTTCGGTGTGAGCGGGGGCAGTCACAGAGGGGACTTGGCCTGAAGGTGGCAGAATCAGGACAGTAATAGTAAGCATTATGATAGCTCCCGCTGTTCACTCTAAATCCTGACAACACCTGAATCCCATTCCACAGATGGGAAGATGGGGGATCACAGAGGTCATTGCCCAAAGTCACCTAGCTAGTAAATGGCGGGGGCACCTGACCCAAAAGCTGCCTCTAGAAGGAAAAGCTCTGGGCAGGCGGATGTCCACCCAGGCATGGTGGCTGGCACAATCTTTTCCCATGTGAGTCACGTGGACTTCTGGCCCCAAGAGGATGGAGGGCAGTGTTCTCAGAAGGGCCAGGCCTGGGTGTCCGTTCCCATCCCAGTACCTGCAGTTAGGCTTCTGGCCAGGGTCGGCTGGCCGGCCGGTTGCAGGAGACGGGGCTGTCTGTTGTCTCAGAAGGGCGGGTGGCCTGGCGGGGAGGCCAGGTGTCCCGCCGCGTGCAGCTGTTGGGCAGGACGGAGGCTGGAGCTGGGAAGGCTCCACAGCCTGAGGGCTGGGCAAGCCCAGAGAAGCTGGAAGCTGTTGATGAGACTTGTGTCTGGCACCCCGGGCGAGCTGACAGCTTGTGGCAGCCCCCACCATCGACGGAGGGATGGAGGGATAAAAACAATCCATCAGTGGAAGGCCCGGCTCTGCCACAGATGGGCTCAGAAATGGCCTTGAGAGCGTTCCCTCCAACAACAGGTTATGCTGGGAGTTAAGAGGCCGGGGTTCCAGTCCCCGCTCTGCCCCCCAGGCTGGCCAGCTCTGGATGAGCCTCTCCTGCCCCCCGGGCTCCAGCCCTCAGCACGTTGCTCTGGACTCCAAATGGAAGTACCAGGGAGAGTCAGGGAATAGATGAGCTAAGTTTCCGTGCTCGTGGATTTCCTGAAGGAAGGCAGTGGTGTGCTGAGCAGGGGTCCCAGCAGAGGCCCCCTGGATGAGTGTGAGGAGCCTGTTCTGCGCTCGGAGCTAGTCCAGCAGAGTGCCTAAGAACCGCATCTCCAAGACAGCCCGCAGTTCCATCCCAGGTCTGCCATTGACCAGCTGAGTGACCACGGACAGGTTCCTTAACTTCTCTGAGCCTCAGGGTCCTCCTCTGTGTAAGTGGCGCCCACCTCTGGGCAGTTGTGAGGCAAGCGTGAGCCCATGAGAAGAGCATGCTGAGCACCATGCCAGGCACACCGATGGAAATGGCAGCCATGGCTGCCACTGGAAGCTGAGGATCACCGTCACTGCAATGGGGGAGTCGTGTCCTTGTTTATAAGGATGACAGAGAGAACGGGCCTTCAGGCCGCTGCTCCCAAGCCCTGTGTACCCCAAACCGTTCTGTGGGGATCCTGTACTCTTACACAGGCCACCTCCCTGCTCTTCAACCGGGGCCCCACCCGAGCCTCACACAGCCAGGGATCCAGCCCAGGATATCCTGGTGGCCAGAGAGTTGTGTCTGGGAGCGCCCTTCAGGGCGGCTGGGGGCAGCGGCATCTCAGCCTCGCTGGATCTGACTCCGTGCAGGTGTGCATCTCCGGTCCAAATTCCCATGTGCCTACGTGCCCAGCAAGGGGGGTGGAGGGAGTGAATCTCTTGACCATGGGCCGAGTGAGGCCTGGAGCTCTGGGTGCAACTCGCTGGGCCAGGTGTGGGCAGAGCCAGCCCGGATGTGCAGTGCCTGGCCCCACAGGTAAAGGTGTGGCCCATCTCCCCCAGGAAATGTCCCCCAACCCCCAGCTACAAAGGATCCCTCCCTCTCTTCTAAATAGTAAACCCCACTCCTTGGAGCTCCTCCCCTGGCTCTGGGCATTGGATCAATCACTAACATGTCCGTAGCCCTTTATAGTTTACACCAGAATCTCCTAAATTGCTCCATTGATATTTTGGGCATCCTGTGCATTGCAGAACATTCAGCAGCACCCTTGGCCTCTACCTGTTAGATGCCAGGAGCACGCCCAGGTGCTCTAGACATAGCCAAATGTCCCTTGTGGGGAAAGATCCCCCCTCATTGAGAGTCAGTGGTTCACAAAGCACTTTTCCACCCATGACCCTATTAGAACCACATAACCTCTCCCTTCCCACTTTTGGAAGAAGGAGTTTGTATCCTTGGCAGCCCCACTTCAGAGACCCAGAGGTGCAGTGACCTCCCCAAGGCCATTCTGCAAGTCAGAAGCAGGACTTGAGCTTGACTTGCTCCCACATGTCCCGATCTCCTGGTGTTTATCCCCAGCCTATAGCACTGTTTTGTATTATATATAACTATGGTCCAGTAGTGTGGCTCGTACTTCCGCGAGGTTGTAAACACCTGAAGGCCAAGGCTGTGGCACAGACGGCTCTCAACATCTCCCAGTTGCTGGCACAGGTCTGACAGGTCGTAGGTGCTCAGTCAGTATCTGACGGAGAAAGGAAGAAAGGGCTTGTTCACTCCAGAGGGTTTTAAGTTTTTGTCAAAGCGTGCCCTATCTTAGAGACCTTGGGAAGAAGGAAAGCTCTACTCTACCGCCCTAAGTCTCAGGTGATGCTAAGAGGGGCCAAAGTGGGTGTCGGGACGGGCTGCTGCTGTGGAGACCCCCAGCTCCCCTGCCAGGGCACACCCCCTGGGGCCTGGCT